TCAGCAAAATACGTGTTGGAAACGATTTCAGATTCATTAAAGTGCACTGGGCTCTGTTGTGCCGTGCCAGCACATCTCTGCAGTGCAGTCTCCCAGGCAGCCTCGCTGGCCTCCCCTGCAAACCCAAATTAAGCAGGTGCAGAAATGCCAGCATCATCAGCATCTTCCCAAGGTGCTGGGCCTGGGCTTATTTTGACACAGCCAGGCTGTTTAGCAAGGCAAAAAGCCCTGCAAATACAAATCAATTACAGCCCAAAAAAAGATCAATTTTTCCCCTACAATGGAAAAGCCATTGCTTTTTTTTTCAGTTCCTTAATGCCACATTAGCACAACATCCCCAAAATCCCCAAACATGGCAGTGTGAAGTTTAAAAAGGACCAACAACCCCTGCAACCACATTTTCACTGGGCAGCTCTTTCAATATCACGCAGAGCCTTTTCAAGCAGACACCCAAAAAAACTCCAAAAGTTTCATTTCTCTGCTGACAAAGGTATTTTAAATACTCTCCACACCCTCAAGAATTTTGCCTTTCCAATATCTCAGCCAGGACTACAATGGAAAGAGAAAGACTTTTGGAAAGAGAAAGACTTTTTCAGGAATTCATGGACACTGGATGACAGGGAAGGTGGAGGTGTGGAAGAGCTCCCTGTCTGTTCCTCAAATAGAAAAGAAAAAATCTGAATTACTGAGTTCCTCCTAAATTTAACTGTATTGCCCTGCCCTGGATGTATTTGCTCACTGTGCTGCTCCTGTTTGCCAGCATCTACTCCTTGAGCAGACACTGAGTTACAATTTTGAGGGGGCTGTAGCTTGGAAATGTCAAAGGGATTCACATTCCTTCTACAGCACCTTTCAAAATAAAGCCAAAAGCCCTCAGGATCATGAATACAGCACAAAATTATGCATCCAAAAGAACAATTCCCTGCCAGATCACACAATAATCCTACACAGGCCGTGAGGAAATATCACAGGAGGCTGTTTTTAGACCATCAATTAATCTGTGAACCCTCAACTTGATCTTTAAGGAAATGGGTAATTTTATAGCTCACAGCAAAACGAAATGGAAGAATGTTTAAGCAAACCTTCAGTTTGAACTCCTGGCCTTAAGAAAGCACTCCCAGAAAATGCCAAGGCTGGCACCTCCCAGGGGGCTGAGCAGCAGACGAGGAGTGACCCACCCAATAAAGACTCCTGGAAAGGCAGGGCACATTTTGGTGACCTTGGGGATAAATCTCATAAAATCTCAGTCTCCTCTGCACCTGCAGAATCCCTTCAGTCCCTGTTTGATGTTGGGATTTTCATCCCAGTGAACTTTGCAGCCAGTGTCAAAGGGTGTTTGGGTGGACTGTGAGCGCCCAGAATCCAGAATGTTGGAGCACAGAGCACACTGCAGGCTGGCAGTGCAGAAATTCAGATTAACATCTGGCTGGCTCTCAGAAAACACAGCTAAGAGACAAAGCAAAGGGAGCAGAGGCAGAACAGCAGATATGAGGCACGAGTAACAAAGAACATCGCTCAAACTCAGTCTCTGAAGAATATTAAACCAAAGAACATTATGCTGAAAGAATCATTGCTAAGGAAAGCGAGATTTGGGAATACCAGGATCAAATTCTAACCTGCTTTAAACAACCTGCAGCCTCAGAGAATTCAAGGAATCACACAGGTTGCCATTAAGGGAAGGCTGACTGTACAAATTCCTGCAAATCACATCCTCTGATCTGCATAAACCCAGATGCACTAAGGTGCCTGTTGCACAAAGATCAGAAAAACACTGAATGGGCCGGGAAGGAACCTTAAAGATAATCCACTTCCAACCCCCTCACCCTTCCAAACAGCTCCAAAAGACTAAGATTTGAAAATGACAAATTCATAATTAACAGAAGGAGAGTCACAGTTCTGCTCCAGGCAAAGCATTAACGAGTTGCTGCTGTGACAGCCCAGTCCTGAAGCACACACAAAGGCAGGGATGCAATTCTCTCCCCTTCAATCCCACTCCCCACTAAAAAGCTGGATCAGGATGCTCAAATTTTGCTTGCAGTGTCATGTTTTCCAGGGCTTTGGCTTCTTTGAAGAACCAAAACCTCACCATGCACTGGAAGTTACTTTCACAGTAATTTTCACAAATGTGCCATCCTCTGGAATCCTTGGGGGTTTTCCCACTGTTCCTCTGAGTGTGACAACAAAAGTAAAGATTTCCTGAGAAATACTTTCAAATCTCTACTTTCTAAATGCCCAAGCAGTCCTGGTGAGCACTGAAGAACAGCAAGGCAGGCAGGACACTGAAAAATCGGTGTGGGCTTGGTAGAGATGAACACTCACAAATCCACACTCCAAAACTGGTCCCACTAAAAAGAAAGTGTCCTGTGGAAGAGCTGCAATCCCCTTGCAATGCAGGATCTGATTCTGAGTTTGGTTCTATTTATTTTGTAACTGTTGTAGGCTTTTAGGTGAAGATATTGAATGGTTGGAAAGGTTTATATAATATATTTTATTAAAGTTTTTATGTTTATGTGTTAATAAAAGAAAATTAATTGTTGTTTTGTTTTGGAGAGTCATATGCTTTGTATTTTGAACATTAGTTAATAAATTGTTTAATGTGAGGGAAATGGTATGAGATTGTTTGTTTAGTTAATACCTTAGTTGATTTAATTGTTTGAAGGTTGTTTTTGAAGTAGTTTGAGGTAGAATGAAGGTTGTTGTAATTTCTTTTTTAAGTTTAAAAGTTATTATTATAGTTAGGTTTATATTGATAGTTAGGTTTATACTGATTGATGAACTTTTTTTTTATGATTGTCGTTTTTTATTATTTTTATGTAACAGGAATGAACCAAAGTTTAAAAGTTATTATTATAGTTAGGTTTATATTGATTGATGAACTTTTTTCTTTATGATTGTGGTTTTTTATTATTTTTATGTAACAGCAATGAACCTGCATCACTTTTCCTGAGGGACCACAAAGCTTTGGGAACGTTCTCCACCACAGCTGTCACATCCACAGAAATCTCTGGGAACATCTTCATTTTTTCCACCTTAGCACCACGATGGGCTCTGAGGGAAAGTCACCCTCGTGAATTAAAGCAAATCATCAGGAGAGGAACAATTCAGAGGCACCATCATTTATCACTCTGGCAGGAAAAGGGGCTGGAAAATGCAGTTTTTCTACGAGGGCACCACCCTGATTAAGCAGCGAGGGAACGAGCACCAAATCACTGTAATAAAGTGAGATCATCCCTTTACTGTGTCCCAGATAATTCTGTGTTGGTCCAGTGTCCTTTGGCAGTAAAACCAGACAGATTCTGGATTTTACACTTAAGGGAAAGCTCTGATTTATTTATTTACTGACCTGCTGGGAGGTGTAACTAATTTGGATTATTCTCCTTGTCACGAGGCAGCAAATTCCAACTGTTTAAGCCCAGGAGAGAAAATTAATGACACAATTAACCTCTGTGCAATTGGAGTGCATCAGACAAGAGTTTTCATCTCAGGTGTTGCACAGGGCCACGGGTCAGCCCTTGGAAAAGCAGATCCAGCCCATCCATCCAACCTCCTGCTCCAAGCCTTTTCCAAAGGAGCTTCAACACAGGAGAATTGGTCAGAAAAACAGCTCTACTGTCCATTAATAAAAGGAAAAAAATACACCAAATGTTATTTTTCTTGGAGGTTTACCTTCCTTTAAAATCATGTTATTATAATACAAAATTAGATCTGGGATTTTCCAAAGAATCCAAAGTAATTAGTTGTCCAATTCCCACTAGATTGCCAAGGGAGTTAGATCCTAAATGCCTTTGGCTCTTTTGGAAAACCTCATCCATCACAGAAATTCATAGGGTGGCTCACCAGAAACTGCAGAAAAGCAAAGTCTGAGTTAACACATGGAGAATTATTTTTATAGCACTTTCCAGAGCCCCTCAGTCAATGCTGCACTGGGAATAGTGGGCACCACCACCACATTTTCCACTGGAAAATAACATTTCACCCACAGAAACTGTGGCAAGAAGTGATCAGGGACATTCCAGGGTTCTGGAACACTAAAAATAAAGGGCAAAGCTCCTCTCAATAAAAGCACTGGGCTCACAGAGTGGAGCACACAGGGATTTTTTCCTTCTCTCCTGGTGCTGCTCTTTAAGATTTTGGGGTTTTTTTCCAAGCCAATGCAAAGCAGAGGGAGGGCAGCTTTTCTGACTGGAAAATCTGGATTAACAATGCACCAATGTTGTTTTTTAACCAGATTGCAGCTCCCAGCTTCACCCAGGGCACACCCACAGCCAGAATTCTTCGGTCTCTACCAGTAAATGAAGACCCCAAAGACCTTTCCAAGGCATTTAATTACATTCAGCGTGCCAGGTTTATTCTGACTCTGTTTTCTTTTTTGTACTATTGCATTTGTATTTTTCATTTTCCTAGTAAAGAACTGTTATTCCTGCTCCCATATCTTTGCCTGAGAGCCCCTTAATTTCAAAATTATAATAATTCAGAGAGAAGTAGTTTGCATTTTCCATTTCAAGGAAGGCTCCTGCCTTCCTCAGCAGACACCTGGCTTTCCAAACCAAGACACAGCATGAAGTTTGTCATTTCCCTTAAATCACACAGGCTTGGAGCTCTGCAGCCTCTCTCAGCCCTGGGAACACCAGTGAATCATCAGCCACTTGCTGCTGCCTTGTACAGACACATTTACATGAGTTATTTGGAAGCAGAAACTACATCCTTTGGGAGCTGAGTGGCTAAAAGTTGGTACAGCAAATATGGCTGAAGCCACAAAATGAATTTAAAGTAATGAAGAAAGAGTTTTGAGGCTGATTATGTGCTGAAATATTTTCTCAGTGCCCTCAAGAATCACAGTCCCACTCAAGTCTTTATTTTCCGTTCTTTATTATCAATGTTTTATCTGCTGAAACCCTTGTATACCTAGAAACCAAATGATCTGTTTCTCAAAATCCACTGAGAGATGTATGCAAAATTCCTAAATAAAACCACATGAAAAGGCAGCTGGGCAGCACAACCATTAAAAAAAGTACCAAATAAAATATAAAACCCTGCAGATACAGGATGGATGGGGCTTGGAGCACCCTCATCTAGGGAAAGGTGTCCCTGCCCATGGCACAGGGTTGGAATCAGAAGATCTGGAAGATCTTTTCCAAGCCAAACCATTTTATGATTCTGGAAGGATTTTGCTTGATGCAATTCTGTAGCAGAGACTTCCTATATGGAAAGAAGCAGCAAGAGCTAGAAAACCTCAGGAAAAAATAAGATGCCACCCTAAGGTTTTGCAAACATCACACATGATGCAGACAGGACAGAACACAGAACACACATGATGCACACAGGAGCAGAAAAGGCTTTTAAGCAAAACAATTTCCAAACATTTTCCTTGGAGATCAGCTCCTCTCTCCCATCAGCAGGAATTTGTCTGCATGGATCCCCCTCAGCTCTGCTGTCACAGTGGGAATCCTGCAGGGAGGACACGAGGAGTTTTTGACCTTTTTCCTTTCACAGTGGTTTGATGGAGCTGGGAAGGGAACTGATACTTCAGGTTTTAGGATTTGTAGTTTTCAGATTCTGTGTGTGGGTCTGGGCTTCATATTATGGGATGGTGAGCTCTGTGCACAGAGCAGGGAGACAAAACAATTCCTGCTCCAGCTGGGCACCAAGGACAAATGATCCAAATCTCAGCCCAGGAGCACAAACCCCGTGGGCTGCAGAGAGAAAAACAAGCAGGATGGGAGTGCAGGGGCTGAGCTGGAATTGGACACTGAACTGCAATGTGCACATGGAGCAGAGCTGATCCCAGGGAGAGACCCCGGGAGCGCTCGTGCATTTTGGGACCATTTGGGTTCATCTTGGGGGCAGCCCTGGCTGGGCTCTTGTGCTGCCCCAGGTGGATCCATGGAGGAGATCCTTTCAATCCATCCCTGCTTTATTCTGGAACTCTGCCCAGCCTCTGCTCTAGCTCAGCCTTCACAAGGCATCAGAACAAGTCGTTGCCTTTAAAGGCACTCACACAGGGACAGAGTATGAGCTCAGCACATCAAAAGAGAGGTTTATAGTCCTATAAAACATGTCTACAAATGCTGATGAACTCCTTGTAGCACCTCCTAATTCCAGCTGACAGCAGGGATGAAGTACAACAGATACTGACAGAAAACAGAGGGGAAAAAAAATCCACATCAGAGCTGACAAAACTGTTCAAAAAAGGTTAAAATAAAAGATAGGGTGCAAATCTGCAGCAGAATTTCCATTTCTTCCAGATCATCCCAATGTTTATCATCTCCAAGAAAGTGAAGGTTAACAAGCCCTGTACAAGCTGGGAATTCTGCATCCTTTATTTCCAAAACTCACATTCCTGTTAGGATCACAGAGTCACATCAGGTGTGATGGTCACTTCACACCTCTCTTAGTCCTTGTCAGAGAATCTTCCAGCATGAGAAAGAAATCTTCCAAGTGGCATCACTGGGGAAAAAAAAGCTGGAAAATCTCCGAGTTCTCAAGTTGTATCAATTAAAAAGAATTTAATGATGGCCCAGGGTTCACAAGGCACAGGTTTTGTGCCAACTGCCAAATAGCAAAGTAGGGAATGTGTCATTCCCTATCCTGCATTCCCAACCTTTTCCTCTCAGCCTAACACCCAGCAGAGCTGACTTTGACTTTCACAACTCCACCAAACAGCTTTTTGAAATTATTTCTCTCTCTAAGAATTTGGGCACCTTTTTCAGCACCTTCAGCAGAGTTGAAGTTGCTTTTAACTCACATGGATTGAATTACGTGAATATTTAGGCATAAATTCCAAAACCCATTTAAAACTATGATAAAACTAAATGTGATGAACAATTAAAAGGAAAATCCACCTTAAATGAAGTTCAGAGCAGCTTGATACTTTACAGCATGGAAAAAAGATGAAGAATTTTTTTCCTTGCTCATAAACCTGCAAATATTTCATTAAAGGAGTTACTATTTTTTAAAATCTCCCCAAAGCCCTTTGACCTCCTTTGCAATGAGCTGCACAAGTGACTGTGCATTGTTCAAACAAATAATTTTTATTCTGGACTTGATTCCTTTGAACTTCAGCATAAATGTTGGTGTTTATGAAATGCATTGGATCAACACCTCCAGGATAAAAAGTGGCTAACAAAATATAAAATCAAATATGGCACAGCTTGGTCAACAAGGGCCATCCCTGGGAAAGAAAAGAATCCAGTGTCTGCAGCCAGCTCAGCTCTGGAGCTCGTCCAGGTACCTGTAACCACGTAATTCAGTTAATTTTGAACACAGTTCAGCCAGGATCATCCTGTCAAAGAGAAAACACATCAATCTGGGGCATTTCTACTTCATATTCTTTGTTTTTAAAAGGCCAGGATGCCTTTTCCTGTGCCCTTCCAGTGATTCCATGAAACATCTCTGCACTTCCTGACACTTTTTTTCACCTTTACCAAGGCCATTTCCATCACCCCCAATTCCAAGTGCATCTTCTTAAGAGCTTAACAAAAGTACCAATTTATTTGCTGTTTGGCATTGCAAAAAGACCTGAATTTTTTAGGTAAATTGCAGCAAATCTATAAAACATTTTAATGGAGATGGGAGGCAGGACATTACAAACCTTCTTCGTAAGGCCAAGATTTAAAGAAATACCTTCCTGCAAAATCAGCTTGTCCTTTTCTAGATCCAGAAAGGTGAAACTCTTCCTGGGCCATAAACTTCCCCAGAAATTCTCATGTTCTTAGCAGCACATATTTGCAGAAAACACTGTAACACCCTGGATTTACTCCTGCATGTGCTGAGCTCATGTCAAATAACAGGGGGGAGGGAAAAGCATCAAGTGACCTACTCTAATTATTTAAATTCCCTTTTTAAATATCACCATTCTGAGGAGTGCAATTCTCCCTCCTCACTGTCTCCTGCTAGAGACCAAGTGAAGCTGTGTTTGTTTTTTAAAGCTGCAGACAAATCCCTTTTTTGACCAACGTTCTCTCAAGGAGATGAGCATTAATGAGCCAAACCAGCCAGGACACAAGGGCAGCAGTTCCACACACTCCAGACCATTTAAAAAGAACCACAAAGATTGTCAGGCCCATTATTTGGACCACAAAGCCATTAAATACCAGTGGAGCCACTTTGTGAAAAATAACTGCTCCGGGTTCAAAACATCACCTGGTGAACTTCCCAAAGGCAGCAGCAATTTCAGATATTGCTCTGGCATTCCAGCCAGGATTTATGGCACATTAACAGCTCTCATGCAAAGAGCTGATTTGACTTTCTGAGTACCAACTGTGTCACAAACAGCTTTTAAATGCAAAGGTTCAGACCTGTGCTGAGCCACCCAGCAAAAACCACTTGGGTTTTACATGAGCAGCTCCACGGAGCAGCTTCAGCTGATAGAAAAACCCTTCCCCTGCCAGGAAAAAACCTTTTCCCTTCCCTTTTCCACGGTTCCTTCCCTCCCTCGCCTGTTCCCGTGCCAGCCCTGCCACAGTTCAGGGACCTGAGCGAGCAGAAGAAGCAGCCAGCAGCAAACCTTGGCCAATTCAGCTCCTTCAAATCACATTCCTGACAGGAGAATCCTGCCAGAGCAAGGAGAACATCCTGGGCTGGGGAGAAGGAAGCAGTGGGGTGGGAGCACAGCTGGCTGAGGCTGGGATGGAGCTGAAACCTCTCCACACCTTTCCCACTGAGTAACTGAGGCTGCTGTGATGCCTCAGGTTGTAGCTTTTCTATTTTTCACATTCTGTGCTGCTTTAGTATGTGGGGCTGGGCTTCATATTATGGGATGGTGAGCTCTGTGCACAGAGCAGGGAGACAAAACAATTCCTGCTCCAGCTGGGCACCAAGGACAAATTGTCACATTCATATTTTCTGAAAAACCCCTTTGCCAGGATATCTTCTCCTGGGAAGCTGAGAAGCCTCAGAGAAAAAGGAAAACAATATTATCTCATTTACTTCTCCTGTGTTTTGCTGCTTTGGAGTGTGGTTGGAGATTGTTTATCCAACATGTGAATTAATTTAAGTTAATGACCTATCACAGTCAGGCTGTGACCGGACTCTGGAAGGAGTCACAAGTTTTCATTATCATTCTTTGTAGCCTTTTGTCTGTATTCTTTCTATGTTCTGGGAGGAGATCCTTTCAATCCATCCCTGCTTTATTCTGGAACTCTGCCCAGCCTCTGTCCTAGGCCAGCCTTGAGAAGCTGAACTGCACAGACATTCCCCTGCTGACCTGCGTGCCCAAGGGGACCAGGATTTTATGCCATTAATTCCCTTAAAAACCAGACAGGGACTCAGGTTCCTGCAGCAGAGCCCTGAAATTCATCTCCAAGTGCTCTCCCAGGACTCCTGGCCAAGTGTGACCCAGCAAATGCAATTTAAATGCAGCTTTTCTGCAAGATCACTGCCCAGCACCAGGCCCAGATGTGAGGCACAAAATTATCCCATTTCCCTGCTCCCTCCCTCAAATGCCATTCCCTTGGATAAGGAAGGACATGGGGATGGTGGAGCATCCTGAAGAGAGGTTTCTCAAGGCTCAGTGTCTGCTGTCCCCAGCTCTGCAGTAGCACAACAGGAGTGTGTGGGCAGAGAGGAGGCTTCAGTTCCTCCCTCCCCAGTTTCCTTATGGTTTCAGCAATGTTTGGGCTGCTAAATGACACGAATTTTGGAAAACACAGGAAAGCATTAGACAGAAAAAAAACCCCAAAAAAGGAACATATTAGTTGTCAGTCTAATATGTTCTTCTCAGCAGACAGCCCACCAGAGAACCTGCTAAAGATTTATGTCCCAGAGAAAATACGTGTGATTTTCCCTTTCTTCTGTGGGAGGGAGAAAGACATAGACCCCTAAAAATTTAGAATCACCAACTACAAATTCATCACTAAGAAAGGAGAGAAGATTTCTTGCTTGGAGGCAAACAGCTCCAGCCTGAGCTGTTAACTGGTCATGTCACCAACAGGACAAGTCACTGGTGGCTTCTCCTGCAGCAGGGTCCTGCACCATTCCCTGTGTCCTGTCCATCCCTTGTCCCCAGTCCCTCTGCAGCTCTCCTGGAGCCCCTCCAGGCCCTGGAATGTGATGGAAGCTCTCCCTGGAGCCTTCTTCTCTTCAGGTGAACATTCCTAGCTGCCCAGCCTGGCTCCAGAGCAGAGGGGCTCATTCCAGCAGTCCTGCAGGATCCAGCACAGACACTGAAGTGTCCCAGAAACCTCAGCATTGCCTCACTCTTTATCCTGACACAAGCACTGACATCAGGACATGGCTCCCAGCTCTCTCCAGAACACAGCCAAGGCCCTGATCCTGCATTCATGAGGCTGCTCAGGAGGATGTTCCACCCACTCCTGCACTGAAGAGCTCAATCAGCTCCACACAAAATGCCAAACTTTAAGTTGAAATCTAAACAAATTTCCCCCCTTCTCCCATGGATGGAACAACATGATCAAGGGCTATGCTGGCTGTGAGACAAGGAAATAACTTCAAGTGGTGTTTTCCTGAACAAGGCTGCTCTAATATTTTGACAAACTGCTTTTGTTTGTTTGTTTGTTTGTTTGTTTTCTAGCACTCGCCTACCAACTGGAAAAGGTCACTCTGTCTTCTGTGTTACTCCTCCATTCTCAAAGGAGGTCAAAAATATTTCATATTTGCATGTTTTGTGCCTCAGCACTGCTCAACACTGAGCCTCTCACACTACACCAGAGAGCCTGGTGCAGTTATTAGGGAGCTTTCAGAAATCCAGCTCCAAAAACGAGCTGCAGAAAACAACTCCACCCCCACAATTTGCAGCCCACCACGAGCTCCTGTTATTTGGTGAAGACATGGAGAGATAACCCTGCTGTAACGTGAATTTTCCTGAGTTTCACATGCAGAGATGCACAATGCACATGTACAGAACATTTTCCCTGTGAATTCCACTCGTGTGAGATTGTTCTGCTGTGCTGACTAAATTCCATTCACTGGGGCTTGAAGGAATTGCATTGCTTCCCTGAGCCACTTCCTCCAAGTTCTCAGCCTCCCCCAACAGCTTTAAACACCTTTAAAACTGAGTTTTCTGCTCCCTCTGCTGCAAATACAAGATCTCCTCTCCAAAAATTATCTTTACACAGAAAAGCAGGTTAGAGATAATTTAGGCTTTGGGATCAAAGGTTTTTTTTACACTCTAAGGTAAAAATATTTTAAGCCACTCCAGTGGAACTAAGGTACAAACACCAACAAGATTTTGAACAAAGAAATGCAGCATTTCCTCCCTTTCATGCCAGTCAATGCTCATCTCTTACCTTAAACCAGCAAGAGATTATGGATCTTAAAGTGCTGCTTTTATGCATTGTAAAAGCTCTTTTGGAAGCTTTTCTGACTCCCCCTGACACCCAAGAACAATGAAACCTTTCCAAGGGGGTTCTTTTTGTTTTTCTTGGCACACTTTTCCCAGAGATCTTGGTCAGACATTTTCTGCCCAGCACAGAAAGCACTTTCAGTGCTCACACCTCCACAGGCTTTGAGTTTTAGCAATGCTGTTCAGGAACAGCCAACAGAAATCACTCCAAATTTCACCACACACCAGGGCTGAACCCATCCCAAACTCCCACAGAGGATGGGAATATCCAGCCTTGATGTTCTGCTGCACTGAAGGATCAGTCTGGGGAATGTTCTTACTCCAAGGTTTTGTCTTTCTGGAGCAAAACCTGCAGAACTCCAAGCTCAATGTTTTTCTGGGCCTCATGGATCACAGGAAGATGGCTGCAGATTGCCCATCCCAAACCCCTTCCACATATCCTTAAATTTAATTCTTCCATTTTATTCTTCCCTTATTTATTCCCACTTCAGCTGTGTGACATTTTCTGTTGTTCAGAAAACCCCTCCTGAACCTCTGGCTGGACATTTCCAAGGAAATTTTTGCAAGAACAGTATCTCAAGCCGCGCCAAGGGAAATTCAGGTTGGGTGTCAGGAAAAAGCTTTTCCAGCAAGGGGATAAAGCTCTGCCATGGCTGCCCGGGGACGTGGTGCAGTCACCATCCCTGGGGGTGTTGAACAAGCCTGGATGTGGCACTGGGTGCCAGGCTCTGGCTGAGGGCTTGGGCTGGGCTGGACTCCATGGGCTGCAAGGTCTCTCCCAACCCAGCCATTCTGGGAATTCTCTGAAAGGAGCTGCAAGTTTGTGGCATAGGGAAAAGTGATGGAGATTCCTTTGATAATAATTCTTCTAGAAAGACAGATGTGTGGGTAAGGAGTCAGTGAAGGGGATTGAAGGCTCACACCTTACATTTATCATGCCCAAGTATTTAAAGTCATTGGGATATTTGGGTAAGGAAAAAAGAAAAAACCCTGCATCACTGCACAGTCAAACAATCCTGCAGAGCAACAGCTACAAACCAGCCCAAAACTGAAAAAGTGAGTTAGGGCAGGAGGCAGAGAGCATTTTCCATCACCAGCCCAGAGCTGGAATGACCAACATAAATCCTTCCCCCTCCTGTAAATAATGCCAGGCTCACTTGTTTGACCTCCTCTATCACACAGCAGGTGAAGTTCCACATCTGTGCACTATGTATAAAGGTAATCTCCAAATAAAGAAATAAATAAAAACACACCAAACATGTGTTTAGTATAACACAAAACATACATCACAGCAAGAATGAGAGAACAGACGTGTGACAGATGAGAGCTCTGCTGCTTGAGAGAGCCTCAGATCCCTGGGTGAGAGGCACAGCACCTGAATAAAGCCTAAGCAAGGCACAGCTTTAGTCTCTTGCAGTTAAGAGGAAGAATCAAATAAGAATTTGCTGCAAACACGCCGGCAGCAAGTGTCTGAGCTGCCTAAACCCAGCCATAATGACAGCAGAAGACAAGCCATTACAGCTGTGACACTTTATAAGACAGGCATGACATGGTAACACAGAACAAAAATGTCACTTTGAAAGCTGCTGATAAATCACTTGGTAGGCAAAAGGAATCAACCTTTCCAAACACCATAAGGAGGAATCCACGGGATTTTTTATTTTTTTTTTGCTGATATTTAAGCTCTTTGGAGTATTACAATCTGTCGTAAATGTGGCCACTTACCAAAAAACCAAGATAAATCCCAGCAATACTGAGTGTTGAGCATGACAGGTATTCTATGGTTCTGAAGGGGTTTTGCATTTTCTTTGTAATTTACGGGGTTTTGTTTGTACGACTTTGTATTTTTTTATAGCTGCAGGCTGAAAACATGCCCACCTGAGGGATTCTTACCTGCAGGACATCCTGGATCTTCACCCACACGTCCACCATGTCGTAGAGCTTGATGTCCCCATCGTGCTGGCTGCAGGGGGAGGCCACAGTCTGCTGCAGGTGGCCCAGCACCACGGCGTGCGCGGCGGCCACGGCGTTGAACTTGTCAAAGAGCAGCTCCAGCAGCTCCAGCAGCAGCCTGGCAACCACACAAACAGCTCTGCTCAGCTTCTGGAACGTTCCAGGGCTGGCAGCAGGGCAGGGGGGCAGGGCACTGTGGTTTCATGTGCTTCTTTTGTGACATGCTGAGGTCAGTTCTCTGTGGGATCAGGGGGTTTATTGTATTTGTGGGGTGCCCTCGTGGCAGGGAGGAATGATGGATCTGACTCCATGTTCTCAGAAGGCTAATTTATTATTTTATGATCTATATTATATTAAAGAATACTAAACTATACTAAAGAATACAGAAAGGATACAGACAGAAGGCTAAAATATAATAATGAAAAACTCATGACTTTCCAGAGCCCTGACACAGCTTGGCACTGATTGGTCATTAAATCAAAATAATTCACATAAAACCAATGAAACAATCACCTGTTGGATAAACAATCTCCAACCACATTCCAAAGCAGCAAAACACAGGAGAAGCAAATGAGATAAAATTGTTTTCCTTTTTCTCTGAGGCTTCTCAGCTTCCCAGGAGAAAAACCCTGGGCAAAGGGATTTTTCCAGAAAATATGAATGTGACAAGGACTCGCTTCAGCTCAGGAATCTGAACATTCCTGAGGATTTTTCTCCTCATTCCCTTCCCTATAGCAGCATTTCTCACTTTAGAAGTGTCCTGTTTAGGGCTACAGGGAAGACAAAACCCATTAATAAAGCCACAGTAATTAAACTGGGCTAACATAATATTAGAGCCCATTGTGAGAGCCCAGGCAGGGAGGGAAACAACCTGCTCTTCCCCCAGAAAAAAGTATGAGTCTCAGGGCAATAAAAACCTGACCTACACACACAACCAGGATAAAAGGAATTATTTTTGAGTTATTAAATTAATATGGCAGGCTTCAAATGACAGAAAAGCTAAATATCAACCCTCATCACTTGCCATGATTATACTCCTATATAGCTTATATTATTTTACTCCTGTTTGTTAGAGCTATAACATCATCTAAATGCACTGCACTCTGTCTGCTCCCATGGTTCCCACTGCCCAATTATCATAATTAAAGCACCTTTGCAAAGTCCTGACCAGCGTGTGACTGTGGCAGCACCATCCCACTTGCTCCTGTTGGAGAACAGAAAAATCCCTCTGGAGTTCAGCGCCGTGTAATGAGCAACTCGAGTCCCCACATAACCCCCAACAAAACATGGAGATAACACTTCCCAAATCCATATGTTAGGCACTTGTAGCTCTGACAGACAGGCTCCATCACATTTCCTGCAGCAGCTTTGGAGCCACCACATGCTCTGAGTCTGCCCAGCAGAAGCTGCGAGCCCCAGGGCAGGACAGGGCAGGAGCTGCTCCCACTCCATCTCCAGCACCTTCAGTACTCACAGGAACAGGGAATGGGACTGGGGACACCCTCAGGGTCATTCCTGGGCACCAACCCAGGCTGCTCCAAGCTCCAGTGTCCAGCCTGGCCTTGGACACTGCAGGGATGCAGGGGCAGCCCCAGCTGCTCTGGCAATTCCAGCCCAGCCAGGAATTCCTCATGGCCAAGATCCCATCCATGGCTGCCCTCTGGCACTGGGAGCCATTCCCTGTGTCCTGTCCCTGCAGGCCTTGTCCCCAGTCCCTCTGCAGCTCTCCTGGAGCCCCTCCGGGCCCTGGAATGTGCTGGAAGCTCTCCCTGGATCCTTCCCTTCTCCAGGGAACATTCCCAGCTCTCCCAGGCTGACATTGGATCCATCTCCTCTCCAAGACATTCATGGACCCAGGGGCTTCACCTGGAATCTCAGGAAACCATGAAGGGTCTCCCTCCCCTTTTCTTCCCCCATTTTCCATAAAAACCTCTTGGGATGGATTCTGAGTTTCCCAAATCCCAGAATCCCAGAGCAGTTTGGGTGGGAAGGGACCTCAAAGCTCATTCCAGGGACACCTCCCACCATTCCAGGCTGCTCCAATCCTTCCCTGGGCACTGCAGGGATGCAGGGGCAGCCCCAGCTGCTCTGGCAATTCCAGCCCAGCCAGGAATTCCTCATGGCCAAGATCCCATCCATGGCTGCCCTCTGGCACTGGGAGCCATTCCCTGTGTCCTGTCCCTGCAGGCCTTGTCCCCAGTCCCTCTGCAGCTCTCCTGGAGCCCCTTCAGGCCCTGGAATGTGCTGGAAGCTCTCCCTGGATCCTTCCCGTCTCCAGGAGAACATTCCCAGCTCTGCCAGCCTGGCTCCAGCCCTCTGAATTAATTTGTGACTGTCTTGACTCAAACTTTTTGACTTGATTTTTTCCATTTTTACTTTAATGATTGTAAATCTATACCACATTTTGAGGCCAAGCGTTACAGGAGGATTCTGGCCACTTCTCTCTGAAGTGCTAAGAGCTTCTATTGTGAGGGACAAAACACTCACTACACAAAGGCTTGAACCACAGAAAACATTGGGCTTACTTTCTGATCACATCAGCATACTGAAATTTTACATCTTAGCTCTGATTAAAAAGTGCTAGCTTTCAATAAAAACTAGTTTTTCTCAAAACCTTCAGAATTTTTTTTAAAGCTGACATTTCCCTAATTAGTTTTTTGAAGGTTAGCTTTGGCCCTGAGCCACAACATAACAAAAAAATAAAAGAGCCACAAAAATAAAGAGCCACTGGAACCAAGATACCTATTCTAACAAAACCCAGTAAATTGTGTATGTATCCCTTTTCTTCACATTTCAGAACAGCAGCAAATGCTAAAAGATGTCACATTAGGGTACCAAATTAATTCTCTACCACTGAGAAAACGTTCTCAGTGCCAGCCCATCTTCCTACAACATCCCATGACAGACTCAGTTATCCCTACACCTCCCTGCTGCCCCAGGGAAGAACAGTTTTGCAGAACTGAACTACCTGGAGAGTGTGGCATTCACATTCTTTGAACATGATTCCCTCATCCAGGATTTCTCTTCTGGGAAGCTGAAAGGCAGAGAGAGGCCTCAGGGAAAAGGAACACAATTCTTGTCTCATTTGCTTCTCCTGTGTTGTGCTCATGTGGAATGTGGTTGGAGATTGTTTACCCACAGACGAGTTTTCATTATTATCTTTTTAACATTCAACAAGTACCTTTCTGTATTCTTTAGTACAGTTTAGTTTAGTATTCTCTAATATAATATAGTATAATAAAGTAATAAATTAGCCTTCTGCTAAGATGGAGTGAGATTCATCATTCCTCCCTGCCCACGGTGTTCCCTGCATTTACAACAGGAGAGTTGGACAAGTTCACTTTATTCTCACCAGGTGAGCCCGACCTCACATTCTCCACTTGTTCATGGAGCCATGAGTAAGATAACACTGCTCTGATCAGACCCTTTTTGTTTGGAATTCCAGTGTCTTCCTGCTCCCACCTTCCAGGCTGATGGACATGGAATCCCCAGATCCAAAATCCAGTGTCTGCAGCTGCCACCCCAGTACATTTTCCATTCTCATCACTGTGTTCCCACATCTCCCTGCTTTCAGCTTAGCCAGCACCTCTTATCTTATTTCCTTTTCCCCAAAAGTCCTATGAATCTGTCAGGTCATTTTTGAAAGGAGTTGACCCAAAAGTGACCCAGGCAACGAGACAAAACCCATCAAATTAATATATTAATATATATTTCAAATTGCATCAGATGGTCTGGCCTGGATGGGGCTGGAGCAGGGAGTGCCCTGAGCTGAACAGGGACACACAGTGACAGGAAAATTTGTCACAGCCACCTCATAACCCCTGCACTCAAAGCCAGGGGAAATGTGCTGGGGACAGTGACATCAGCCAGGAGGGACTTCCATGGTCCAGGCAATAATGGGAGTGAAGTGGTGCCCAGGGACTGCTGCCACCTGAGAGGGGACATTAGTGACAATTCAGGTGTTTCAGGCTGTGCCTGGTCAGAGGGGTGGCCTGGACATAATTCCTGTGTTTGTCTCAAAGCCTGGAGATGAGGGCAAAAGTCACAATATCATATGGATGTAATAATAATAGGGAAAAGCACATGGAATCCAAGTAAGAGTATTTAGGAGCAAAAGTGTCCATCTCCCATCTCTCCATGGACTGGATTTGTAATGTTTCCTTACAAAATGTCCCATAAATTTGTCCCTCAAGTAGGCACCCATCTACATTGTTATTCTAAAGTGCAAACTCTTCCAAAACTCAGGAGAGCCCCACAGGTTTGTGCAGCAGCACCCCAAGGAAACTCAGCACAGCCTCTTCTGGGCCACTCTGTCCTCCACAACCCCAGAAAAGGATTTATAAATCTGATGGTGTGACTAATGAGTCACTAATTAAGGATGAGGCAGTGGCAATTCCTGTAGTTAAGCCTTTCTCCACAAACTTCTTTGAAGCACAGAGATCTAAAAATGTTAGAGAATTTCTCTAGACTTTAAAATTGTCCACTTATAGCTGAGCTCAGCTAGAATGTGGTGAGATTCTGGCAGAGTTTTCAAAGTTATCTTTCCCCAGGGACAAGGAGCTACTTGGAACCTGCTCCTGCCCTTCCTGAAGCTCTGAGGATCTGAGAGAGCACCCAGAGAGTCATCACAAACCAGAAAAATCTGGAGTTTAAAAATCTGGGAGTCATTAACAATATTTTTATACACAAATGTAAAAGATGGCAGCACAAAGCTACATGGAAAAGCTTATTAAGGAAAGAAGGAAAAGAGAATTAAATTTAAAAAGCAGCAAGAATGAGATCAGCAGTGGCTGTTGTCAGATCTGCAGCTTTTCTGGCAGGTTCTACAAATCATTTCTGTCTTGTACAACAAGAGGGGCTCTAAATCATTGCTGCATGGGGTCTCCAAAGGAATTACACCACAATTTCCCCAAGCAGAACATCAGCCTCATCCTTGGTCATCCTTGGAATGGTTTGGGTTGGAAGGGACTTCAAGGATCATCTGACAGCCTAATGAACAGTTCATCAGTCCTGGGCACTGCACTGAGCTCAAATTTGGGGTCTTACAGAGCTCTGTTGAAGCAGCAGGGCCTTGTTCAGATTTATTTTTCCCTGACAGCAGGAAAGTCTCTGAGCTTTGATTTAAAAGTGAAGCTAATTTAAGGGGTGGGGACACCCTTCCATCCTGTAATTTATTCTTTTCAATATAAATGAATTCACCTGCTTGCTGTAAACTTCATGTGTGATTTAGGTTTAGAACCAGTTCTGATTATGTCTGTACTCCACAAGAATTCAAGACATTTTCCATGAGCATCTAAAAGGCTCACACTCTGCAACAGATGCCAAAACCTATTAAACCTTTGTGTGCCTCACTCAACCCTCTGGGCAGGTTAATGGCATTGATATATAACCTGATCCAATTTATCAATTCCAACAGACAACCAGGAGCCACACAACCTCTCCAGACTGGTTCATAAAACAAGTATAAGAGTATGTTATACTCCTGGCATCAGAAACTAAAATTCTGCCTTCTGACCCATCTAAAAAAAGCTCATTTTCACTGAGTTACCAGCACTGTAACTCTACAAAGCCTTCAAAACAGAATTGTTTCCACAGCAGTGCTAATGAGAGGAATTAAAAAAGGAGTTTTTATCAAGCTGATGTTTTCCTTGGGAGTGATTTTCCACTACAAATATTGCACATAATGAAGATACACACTTTACTTTTCTGCCATTAATTCCCTTTGGACAATGATCATGACAACGTGGAGATGAACATTTCAGCTGGAAGAGATTCCTGCTGGAATCCTTGTGTTCCAAAGGCCAGTTCCAGTGAATTCTGAGGAGCAGCACAAACACAGTGCCCAGTTGGCTTCCACACTTTGCCATTAATGTAAATGGGGCTGCAAAACAATTAGAGACTTGGCCATACAATTGTGCTAGAATTAGTTCCATACATGATTTCAGAGCTTTGCACCTGCATCAGCTTAATTGGACTCTGCTACACTCGAAATCACCCAGCTGAATTTTCTCATTTTAACTCATGTTATCAATTAGGAATTTTTTTTTTTTTTCTTGCAGCAATCAAGGGCTGGGAGTTGTAATCTCCTTACCTAGGCTGATTTTCCTGGGAAATGTTCTCCCCTCTCTGGTAGCCATTGTCAGCCACCTGAGTGGTGGAGCGCTTCACAATCTGCTTGAGCTCCTGTTCCAAGCGATCCTGGATGGCTTTCACTGTTTCTGGGATTTTCTTCAGCTTGGCCAGCCCCTTGATGAGGATTCCCATGAAGACAGCACTGTTCTCCTCTGGATCCAGCTCTGTGTCCTCTTTGATTTCCAGAAGGCTCGAGTCTCGCACTGGAAGAGATTTTAATCCCAGATTTTAGCAAGAACCCAACATCAGCACCCTGAAGAAGCAGCTTGGGAGCTCCTCTGGCTTCACAGAACTCCCAGCATGTGGAGCAAGCAAGGATGAACAAGGAAACCAGAAACACTTGGATTTTGAGGGGAAGCAAAGGATGTTTCTGTTTGCTTGGGGGCTTCCCTGGACATAAACACAGCAGCCCACACATTGGATTGATTTAGGAACAATTGATTTAGGAACAATTCATGGTGAAAATTCCACATTAGGAAATAGAGGAACTCTGGTACAATCAAGATATTAATAAATGAGAAGGTTCAACATCCCAACAAATCCCCTAAATGTGTTTCAAGGTGCTAAAACCCCCTCAGTTTCCTCCCCAGCTGGTTTTCCTTGCTATTTTCTTCCCAAGAGAGGAATTTTCATTACAAACACTATCAAGCTTAAGAGACTGCTGATGAATTCAGCAAAGTTTACACTGCCGAAGTGACTGATTGTTTGATTTTATCTTTTTCTGCTTTATTACGTCTGTCAAGGGCTTGATGAAGTTCCTCAAATCTTGCAGCAAGGCTTCTAGAAGGGTAAAGTGAGAAGAATTAGAGAGGATATTGCAGATATGGTCCTGAAGTAACGGGGATTGCACGGGGAAAAATCCTGTTGCTAAGCGACAGGGGATGGGAAAGCAAGAGAGATTCTGCTTGTTTTAAGGAGGTTCATTAAGCAACATTTCTTAATTTACAGATAACACCCAGCAACAACAATAGCGTGCCTCTGTTAAAGACTGGGTGAAACATTTAATAAATATATTTAAACACTTACGTGAAGTAAGTGTCTTCAAGGCAAACTGAATTAAAAGCATCTTGGAAGATCTACAGCCACATTGTGTCATGCACCACGCCAGATCCTTGGATCAAAATTAAAACCCAAAGGCTGTTTCATCTGACTGGGGCTGAAAAGCTCTGAAAAGGCTGCTGGGTGACAGATGACTCCCATGGTTTCAACTCCTCACCAGATTTTTTTACTTTGAAACTTTTCCAGGAAGCTGAAGGAATGTCAAAAGATCCAGCAGAAGGGTGGAAGGAACATGGAAGGAATGAGGAATGGCTGCCTGAAGCTGGGCTCTGACCAGAGGAGCAGCACCAATGCTAAGGCAGAGCAAGATCAAAAAAAAAATGGCCCAAGCATGGTGCCAATTTATAAATAATCCCAATAAATGGGTGCCAGTTTACAGCAACCTGAGGCTCAGTCAATCAAGAGGCTGCTTTTTTCCTGCAGTGTGATCCCAAACTCTACACCTCTGGCTCAAAACAAGCTCATGGCTCACATGGTCTCACATCTGAACCCAGAGCAGCAGGTGAGAGTGAGGAGAGGAGGGATTCTGCTCTGGAGCCAGCCTGGGAGAGCTGGGGGTGCTCACCTGGAGAGGAGATGGATCCAGGGAGAGCTTCCAGCACATTCCAGGGCCTGAAGGGGCTCCAGGAGCGCTGCAGAGGGACTGGGTACAAGGGATGGACAGGACACAGGGAATGGTTCCCACTGCCAGAGGGCAGCCATGGATGGGATCTTGGCAATGAGGAATTCCTGGCTCGGCTGGAATTGCCAGAGCAGCTGGGGCTGCCCCTGCATCCCTGCAGTGCCCAAGTTCAGGCTGGACACTGGGGCTGGAGCAGCCTGGGACAGTGGGAGGTGTCCCTGCCATGGCAGGAGGGTTGGAGTGGATGACCTTTAAAAAGACCCTTCCAACTCCAAACTATTCCATGATCCTCTGACAGTGAACACCAGGAAGATCAAACAGTGGTTTTTTTTCTCTCTCACACACACTTCTTTCAATTAAATGTGAACAAGTTACAGGACAAGCAACAAGAAACACCCAGAATGCAGTAATTAAACACAAAAAAACAAACATCAAAAAAAGCAAAGATAAAATAAAGACATTTCAAACACCAATTGGAATTTAACAACTGGATGCAGGACTGTTCCTGCTGAAAGCTCTGCTCCATCACACACCTTTCACCCCACAGAGCTGCAAAGGACTTTGTGGCTGCAGGCCTGGTCTCTGCCCACTCTGTTATTGTTATTTGTTATTCTCCAAAACCCAGAGCAAAACTCAGGCACAGACACAGCAAATGAGCTCCTTGGAACCAGAGCTGTGAAAAAACACTGGAAATGCTACAGGAAGAAAGCCTTAGCCTATTCTTTTTTTAAAAAATAACCCTAAATATCTTCTTTCTCTGAGTTCAATGCAGATATTTCCCAGCCTCTCAGAGGACAGGTCCTGTCATGAGGCTGCACCCTCTTTGTAAGCAGCTTGTAAATTATTCTTAATATCACACAATGAACATCCAAGAGGGAGGAAATGGAGCTGTAGCCAAATGTGAGGACAGCATTTAGGAGGAGTAAAAGCAGCAATCTTGCTGAGAACTCTGCCAGCACACTGAGACAAACTCTTCCATTTTCCAAAGAGCAAACCAATTTCCAGCATCCTCGAATAGTCAGGACATTGATTTACATCTCTCACAAACAAGAGCAAAGTGAGCAATTCGATATCTGGGAGCTGCACACGGCTCTGGAGGCTCTGTCAGATCTGGGAGTTTGATAGCACAGTGGGAAGCTGTTTTCAGTGTGTTCCCTGCACATTGTCCCTATTAAACAGCAGCCCTGGGTGGCTTTGGGGGCCCATTCATCTGTGAGATCTGACAAGATCCCAGCCCTGGGTAACTGTCCTGTCCTTTTCTCCTGTCTTTCACACTTCAAACATCCTCTCCTGCCATTTAATGTCATCAAGGGGTTGTTTGACCACAAAGCTTTGGCCCAGGAACAAGCTCCTCCTGTCTCCTTCCTCTTCCAAAAAGGCACCAAAGCACCTTTATTAAGGAGCTCACCTGGAAAACTGCAGCCCCACGTGCTGCTAGAGGAGTCCCCAGGTGAGAAAAGCTGTCCCTAGAGATCAGCTCTCAGAAGGGAGAGCTGTGTCTGTATTTACTCCTGAACTGGGAATATTAATAACTTTGTTATTTTTTGGGATGGAGAAGTTCTTCCTAGCTTTGATTCTTGGAAGGAAGTGGGTTAAACCCCTAAAAGCTGAACCATGTGTAACCCCCAGAGCTAGAGGGGGGAGTTTCCTGATCCCTGCTCTGATGATGCCCTACAAAAACCTCTCTTCCACCTGGAATTCATTTGCTCAGTGCTGCCATTTCCCCAGGAACCAACCTGCTGCAAGGAGCTTTTTAACAGCTCCGTTCTGATCCCTAAAAAGCCAACTTTGGGAACTCATTTAAGCAAAGCAGCTGAAAAAAAAGGCTCTTGGGTCTTGTTTTTCATTCCAGTGAACAGCCAAAATTTGCTGCTCCTCATTATGAAGGTTTCATTATCCACAGGCTTTTATGGGAGTCTTGTAAAATGTAATATACTATTTTCCATTATTTATGTCCTTCTGGTGATATCCTTTGTACCTTCAATCCTTCCAGAGAAAAGCACACGAGCTCTTGGTGGCCCAAAGGCATGATTTCAGATTTGAAGGAACATCACCTGCTAATTCTTGGTGCTGAATCCTTATTCATGGAGCTACAAACTGGCAGCTCCTGCAGAAATGGGTCCTTGGAAGATTTTGGGAATTTTCTGCTCTGCATCACTACCAAACCCAGAAGAAAACCCACTTGAAAATCCTTCTAATCTATACAAGCATCAAAATTAAGTCTCCAAATAAAAAAAATAAGTGAACTCTAGCCAGTTATTTGATGTTGGGACCACACACAGGAACAACTCATGAAATTACACAGAAAGAGCAATTATGTGTTACTTTCCTGGCTTTCACCACATAGATCTCAAAATCTCCTTTCCTTCCCCAAACATATCCCCAGATCATTCAATTCTAACAAAAAATGATAAAGGCATTTTACCCAGGCCATAGGAAGAGAAGAAATCTTTTGAAGATTTATTGAGCCCCTTGGGAGTGGAGGCCCCTGTGACAACGAACTGGCAAAATGGCATTTTTTAGATTCACCCTGAAAATTGGATATTCCAAGCTCTGGCTCCTGCAGGGATTCTGCAGGAGCAGCTTTGAAGGTCTTCACATGTGGAAAAACCTCTGGTTCTTGAAGAAGGAGAGCCAGGAGCAGTTCCTAGACCTGACCTTGGAACCACCACCCTGCCTGGCCCTACAAACTCTTTTTGCTCCAAAAAAACATTGAAATAAATTAGCAATTCAGCTTAAAATCTACATATGCCACCCAGAGCAGTATTTATTGGCACCAGCAGCTCATCTTCTGCTGGATTTCTAAGAAGTATTGTCCCAAATTTCCCAGGAAAGGGCACTCTTGGGTTTGTGAGCACGTTTTAGAGTTCCAGGAAGAGCCTGGCAAAGCAGGAACCTTCCTAAATACCCTTCAGAGTACAGAAAGTTCAAGCAGAGAAATATAAATTCATTTCTCTGAACTGGCATGAAGGGAAAGTGTTACTGGTGAATTGCCACATCTCCAATCCTCAGGTGAGCATTTCCAAAGGATTTGTTTATTTTACGTGCGGCAGGAACAGCTTTAATTTCCTTATAAAGATTCTACAGCACAAGGTAACATCTCCTCTGGGAAGGGAGAGCAGGAAGGACTCCAAATTTTGGCATCTTTGCTGGGATGGGATGAATGAGTCAGTGCTTTAGAACGACACCCATTAATATGCACAGACACTTTGTTTCATCAATAAAAAGCCAAAGAATTTAAGTGACTACAGGCAGAAACAGCTTTTGTTATGCATAGGCATAAGTTTGAAATTCTCTGCTAGTTGTGCAGTCCTGGAAAAGGCTACTTTTAAATGAAATTACAGGGAAAAAGAATCTACATAAGTACATTGTGCACTTGAAGCAGAACCATATGCATATTTTATGCAGATCAAATGTTGTCTGTTAGAATCCACATCTTTGCCAGGCTGAGGGACACTTGCCCAGCACTTCACTGAGTGATGCTGAGCACAAGGAGGAGCCAAGGAAGAGATTTGCTGGTGCAGTGGGTGAGAAGAGCAAGAGATCTGCTATAAAAAAAGATCAGGAGGGGCATCTCCTGCTCTGTTCCCCAGCCATGAGGGGGGAGAGCCCCATCAGCTCCATAACTTCAGACCTTTTGGGTTTTATTACCATACAGAAGAGCAATATTGTAGGGGGAGAAAGTAGCAGACACTATAAATATCACTGAAAATGAGTATTTTAACATTTAGAGGGGCTGGAACTAGATGGTCTTTTAGTTCCCTTCCAACCCAAAACTATTCTATTTCCAGTGGTGAGGCTGGGATTCAGGTTTTTGTGGTTTATTTCCTCAGTTCCTCAAAATCTTGTTATCTTTTGCAAGAAAACTGAACTGAATTTCTCACTGATAACAGAGCAGAACAGGAATTCTTGAGTTTTTCCCTCAGAATTTTCATATGGTTCTTCTCTTCCAGATTTTGAGTGACCAGGCTGCAGTTTCCAGCTCTGGAAGTTTGTGACTCCTCACAAACCTCCAGGACACAGAAAAACAGCCCCAGGCTCCAAGACCAGCCTGGCAGGAGCAGAGCTGAAGAACAAAACCCTTCCAGGAGCAGAAGATAAGAGTAATCAGACAGAACAATCTGGGAGGTAAGTGTGACAAAACTAGAAACAAAAGGACAGAAGAATTAATAAGGCTGAAAAGAGAAGGAAATATTCTCTGCATTTGAGGAATACTGAAACAGTCAGGTTTGAAAGGGGAAAGAGACTGGAGGTCACTTCTGTATTATTCATCAAGGACAACCCCACTTATTAATCTCCTGAAACAATACAAAGATTAATTTCCCCTCTCTGCAGCCCTTCCAAAGCCTCAGACAAAAGAGTTTTCCTTGGTGTTTGTTGCAGTAACAGGAATAAAAGATCAGGCCCAGATTATTCCTGTGTACAGCCAGACCTTTAGTCAAAGTTACAAAGCTCCCACAAGGAACAGATTTGACCTTTTGGCTCCCAGACAATAAAAAACTTCAGTAATATCTACACAAACCTGGCAGCCTGCAGTAAATAATGCTGAGGAAACCACACAGAATGAACCCACTGCAAATCTCTGCTGCTCAAGATATCAAGAACACCATCAAGGTGAGAACAGGCACAGGAAACTGAGTGTATTTAAGAAGCTGGTGAGGGTTAGGAGAGGGAAAAGATGATTTTCCATGAGGAAAAAAAGCCAAGTTCTGCCCCTGGACACAGCACCCACTCATTTTGTGACCCTGCAAAATCACCTCCCAGGTTTTTGTCTCCCCTGAGCCATGAGGGGATGATTTGCCTCTTCCTGCTCCAGCAAAATCAGCTGAAGATCTACAAATTTATATATATATATATTTATCTATCTGGCTTAAATACTCACTGCTGGAGCTTCCAGGAGTACTGAACTGGGAAGTCTCAAGGAATTTCCGAGGTGTAGATAAATTAGTGACATCCATCAGAGGCACAGGAGAGGAGTCTTTCACAAGAGACCTGTGGGAGGGGAAAGAAGTAAAGCAAACAGTTGATTATTATTTACAATATTTGTTCACAACAAATAATCCACTTGTTCCTTACATTTTAAGCCTATGAAACGGATTAAGCCTAATAGATGTTCCCATTTCCATGCCTGCTGTCAACTTCTAATCCTCCAAACTTCTTTGTTCCCTCTAGACACCTCCACCCTTTTCTCCTGCCCTTCACATTCCTGTTTTGAGCCCACCCATGCACATCACTTCCCAAATGAACCTCCTAACTCAAAAATTAAAACATTTAAAAAATTCACATCGTATTAGTTGCCAAAAATGTGTCACACTGCCCCAGCTGCTGGACATGGCAGGGGGACACAAGCAAGAAATCATTTTTTAGGAGAAAGAAATGTGGAAGGCTCCTACAATGGAGCTCAGGATGTTTGCTTAGAGGTCAAAATTCTCATGGAAATGTGAAAAAACAAGGGTTAGGCTTGGTATCCTGCAGAAGAACCAGCCAAAGCAACAAGGCAGCCTTGCTGCAAGAGCTCCTGTTATCAAATATCCACAATGTGCATCAGGGAAAGTGAAAAAAGAGAATCCAGAGTGAGAGGAAGGTCCCTGCAGCAGCCACAAAACTGCAATTAATTAACAGTTCCCCAGTCTGGGTACACCAAAGCTTTGTGGCTGTTTTTAATTAAGAGGATGAGTAAGGAAGAGACTGATGACTTGCTAGCAACCCTTCTTCCTAGAAATCTCAATTTCAACCAATCCTTTCTTCCATAAATTCATTTAATGCAACTGGATATCTTGCCTTGCATTTTTGGCAAGCGGATTTTTATTTATTCTCACAATAAAATGCTCATTTATCTGTTCTCTGCATCTCTATTAAGTGCTGGCTCCCCTTTTGCTCCCCACCTCTCCTACTCTGCAAAAATTCCCCACCTCTCCTACTCTGCAAAAATTATCTCCCAACACTGCCTCTCTCTTTTCCAGCCACTTTCTTCCTCAGAATTTGGAAAATCAGGAAAAAATAGCCTATATTAACTGAATTTCCACTGACCACAGGCAACAACCAGGTAAGAAGTTTCAACACCTTTAAAACCCCTTGGGAACACATCACAACCAACACATTTCAGCTCAGACACTGAAGTATTGTGGCCTCCATCTCGTCACCTTGTGGTTGGGCAGGAGGCTTTTAAAACTTGGATATTTCCTAGAAAATGAACAGCTTTTCTATGACCTGAGCCTCATGACCATGACATTTGTAGGAGAGGGATAAGATCAGGGAAGGGAGAGAATGCACAAAGGAGCTGTGGGAAGCAGCAAAACCCCAAGAGAAAAGAAAGAGAGCTGAGAAAAGCAAAAGAATGTGAATGGGCTTGGAGGTGCAGAAAATCTGAATTTTCTGCTCTCCAGAGCCACAATGCTGAGGGACTGGCACGTGTCTTGGCTTGGAAATGGGGGTGTGTGTTCTACTTGTTATTCCCATTCCCATATCTTTGCCTGAGAGCCCCTTAATTTCAAAACTACAATAATTCGCAAAGTGGAGGTTTGCATTCTCCATCTCAAGGGAGCCTCCTGCCTTCCTCAGCAGACACCAGGCTTTCCAAACCAAGACAGCATGCCAGAAATGCAGTTTGGGTGGCAGTTTGGTGGCTGTGGCTGGGGCAGGCTGTCCCACCCGAGGCGGGCTCTGTCCCTGCCGCGCTGCCCCACGCGGTTGGTGGATCTGATGTAGAGGTGCCGGTGCAGCTCGTCGATCAGCACCAGGTGCAGGTTCATCTTCTTGCTGTGCAGCTCCAGCCTCAGGTCGCTCAGCCCCTCCACCTGCAGGAGGGGACCCTCCAGGGAATCCACTGCTGACACCTGGGGGGGAAAACAAGGGACAGTTTTTACACATCCATTCGTTCGGCTCTCGCCGTCAATTCATTCAGTTTTGCAATTTTCTGTGGCAGTCATATTTTCTGGAAAAATCCCTTTGCCCAGGATTCTTGTCCTGGGAAGCTGAGAAGCCTCAGAGAAAAAGGAAAACAATTTTATCTCATTTGCTTCTCCTGTGTTTTGCTGCTTTGGAATGTGGTTGGAGATTGTTTACCCACAGGTGATTGCTTCATTGGTTTCATGTGAATTGTTTTGACTCTTTGGCCAATCAGTGCCAAGCTGTGTCAGGACTCTCTCCAGAGTCACAAGTTTTTAATTAGTATCTTTTTAGTCTTCTGTAAGTATCCTTTCTGTATTCTTTAGTATACTTTAGCATTCTTTAATACAATATAATATCATAAAATAATAAATTAGCCTTCTGAGAACACGGAGTCAGATTAATCATTCCTCCCTTCATCTGAGAACCCCACAAATACAGTAATTTTCCTCTTGGATTAGGGAAGTGTCTGAATCCCAGGATGATTCTAGTCTTAAAACCCTTCTAAAGCAGAAAATATTGAAGTAACATTTCTTTATTTCTATTTCCAAATAAATTATATAGAAGGGTCCAACATCCAAATTATTCAGATTTAATGGGCAGCCTTCAAATATTAAGTGTATGTATAAAACAAGTTAGTGAAAACACAGTTCTTAAATAAAAATCAAAGCACGGTTTATCCCCAAATAAGAGGATTATTAAGCAGAAAAGTGTTAGAAGAAGATAGTGACAATAGTGTTTGATGGTTGCTATTCTTTCCATTACAGAAACACCAAAAAGAACCATTATTCTAAATTCTGCAAATGGGGAGAAAATGGCTTAAATTTAACTTGTTTAAACTCATGACTGAAAAAGCTTAGGAGGCCTCATCTTTTAGGCTGCACAAGGGCTATGTCCTATGTCCTATGGCTACACCATTTGAATATCTGAAATAATGACCAGCTGACATCCCACGTGCACAGAAATTCCCTAATTTTCTTTTCTATCCTAAAAATAAACGTGGACAAAACCCAAACACAGACAAAACCCACCAGGAATGACAGATCAGTGCCTAAAAGCAATGCTCTCACCGTGCATCCCTCCCAGTTGGTTTTCTACTTAACAGAGATTTCCAGTCACTAATAAATAAATAAATGATGGCATCCCTCTGCAGCTTCCAAACTCTCAGTGCTGATGTTGTAAGAAACTGGAAAGAGCATGTTTGGCATGCAGAGGTTTAAAATAAAATTTAAAAACCCATTCCCTGCTAACTGAGGATGCTGTCAGTGAAATAAGACATTTGCTTGCACTTCAGGATCTCGCTTCAGAACAAACCTGTCAGCCAAACATTAAAAATTAAAAGCAAAGATACAGTGAGCAGCCAGCCCAGCCAAGGGTTGCTCCCTCAGTACCAGTAAATATTAACTCTGCTGAAAGAACATCCATCACCAGTGTGCTCCTTTGCTGGCCTCCAAGCCCAGGAAGAACTTGATATATCCATGGGACAGCCAAGCTTTTTATATTAATTTTTAAATCTCCTCACTTGGACTACACTGTCCATCCTCCTCTTTTTTTTTCCCTTATCCATCTGTGGGAACATCACACATCATGAAATCACCCCAAAAATGATGGGAAAACCCAAATTCCTTCTCGCCAGAGGAGGTGGCAGAGCTCACATGAGTGGAGGAGCTCAGCAGAGACCACGTGGGAAACTCAGGCAGAAGGGGAAATGTTAATTCCTCTCCTCTTCCTTTGGCAGGTGGAGTTTTTTCCTCAAATTTCCCCATTCCAAAGGCACTTGAATCCCCTCCAGCTTCTTCAGGGGAGCTGCAACTACCCTGGGAGCTGGGCCAAAAATCCCACCAGAACAAAGAGCAGGAGCAATATTTGAGAAACTGAGAGACAAAAAAAGCAGCCAGAAAAGAAGAGAAATCCAGAGCAAAGTGACACTAAAAAAGATTCCAACACATCCAGGAAAAGTTTTCTCTGAAACACAAAGAATTGGAATTTAAATTTTCCACCCAGCTCTGTTTTTGTCTTGCCAGTTCCTAAAGAGTTCACTGCTCACCAAAAGTATTAAGGCCAAAATACAGCTCTCAAGGACATATTTTAAAGAAAAAAAAATGGAATATTCAACCATTTATTGTACTCATGTTTATGGAAGTCAAAGGAAGGTCTCCAGTTGGTTTAGATGGCAATAGAAATATTATGCTAAAAACCAAACCGAACATTTTTCCTTTCTGCACTTTTGCTTACAGAAAGATGATTTAGGTCCTGGCAACAAAGCAGCACCCAAGATTATATTCCAGAATAAAAAATATGAGATTAAAACCTTTGTGTCCTGGGTAAGCCAGCCCAGAACAGCATAAGCAACCAAAAGGAAGCAAAAACATTAATAAAAAAATGCACAAAATTAAATATACACTAAAGGCACATCAACAGTGGAACTTTAGAAGGAACTTTTTTGACTTTATGGCCCCACTCAGCCCAGAACACACCAAAACTTGGATAATGCAAGAGATGCCAACCAGCTGTCCCTGGTTTTTAACAATCCCATCAGCTGCTGGCTGCATCCAAAAGCACTAAAAGGTGTGGAATTGGATAGAGAGAGGCAGAGTTATCCTGCAAGACTCCAGTTAATACTGATAAGGGAAAAGCAGCCCAAGAAAACCTGGAAATGAGATGAACAGAAGGATTACAAGTGGTTCCAGGCTCCAGAAAAAGCAGCTGATGATCCTTCTTGGCTCTTTTTTCTACACACAGAGCTCAGTTAAACAGAAATAAAGTGATTTTTGTTTGTTTTTCTGCAGGGGGATCATGGCATTGTGTTAGACTAGCTGGGCACAAAGGATAATTACAGGTAAAAGAGCTCCCCCACATTAATCTTTTGGCAGGGGTTGGGGTGCAGAGAGGAGCCACAGCAACACAGAGCAGCTGGAAAAGGAATCAACAATAAACAAGTCATTATTCTCGTGGAAAAAAAATGCTTTACAATGAGCAAATTGTACCAAAAGAATGGGCAGTGCCCACCAGTACCTCCTTTAATTCTGGAATTCAGCTCTCACTCCCATTGAAAGCTGCTCATGAACACCCAATAAGTGTAATTTAGTCAAAACACTAATTAAAATATTGGCTTGGATTAGCAGAGAATTTGGCTTAGATGATCTGATAGCAATTCCTGATGTTCAAATCTTCTTATCTCTCTCTACTTATTAGTACCTACAAAGAGCAAAGACCCTTTAGGAAACAGAGATGAAATAAGCCTGAAAAAAGAGCTGTGCTTTGTATAAGCTAAAAATTGCAAGTTTATAGAAAATAACCGTGGCACCAGCACCATTAGGCAGCTTGTTTAAAGGTCACAGGCAGTTTATAGCAGGGCTTAATTGCCTTAAAAAGAAAACACTGCTAAACACTTGCTTAGTGTAAGAGGGAATTTGGAAGTGTTTAATTCAGCATTTTACAACAAACGAGAACCTAAGTGCTAACAAGGTATTTGTCAAAATTCTTTCTTTACTGACTTCAGCCAAAGTTTCCCAATCTGCTTACACTGAAATCTATTTATTCCCTCAAGGGTTTTGCTGAACCCCACAGGCCTGGAAGTGAGCAGAGATAAAGAGAAAAGTCTCAAATATTTTTTTTCAGGGAGGGGGAAAAAAACCAAATAATGATAGAATCATAAAATCATGGAATGGTTTGGGTTGGAAGGGACATTAAAGATCACCCAGTCCCCATGGGCAGGGACACCTTCCATTATCCCAGGTTGCTCCAAGCCCTGTCCAACCTGGCCTTGGACACTTCAAGGGATCAGGAATCCACAGCTTCTCTAGGTGAGCTGTGCCAGGGCCTCACAACCCTCACAGGGAAGAATTCCTTCCTCAATTATTAATTATTTTACTAGAAAAATCAAATCCTTTCGAGGTGGGAAACCAGTCAGTTCTGAATTTGCACAACAGATATGAAAACATGAACACACAACTGAGAAAGGTTTAGAGGAAACAATGTAGTAGGTCATCATTCCAGATTTAAAAAAGTTATACACAAACACAATCTGACAAAAGGGAAAAAGCTGAGGCCTGAGAATAAAAGAGTAAATAAATAAGCAACAACCCAGAAGGTTCCAGCTGCCTCGCTGGTGAATACAACAATGCTGACATTTAAAAGGAGAATTGATCTGCTGCTTTTACAAGGGACTCACTTTCACAAGGTACAGGAAAGGAAAATGACTAAAAACCAGCTTAAATAAGTGTAGGCAGATCTAAACAAGCAGGTCACTGAATTCCATTTGCACCTGACGTGCAGGAGATAAGGATTGCTATGGAACAGGGAAGTCCTCACACTGCAGCTTTTGGGACTTGGCAGTGGGCAGAGACACAACACCCACAAATGCTGACCTCTCTTTTCCCTAGAACAGAATTCCCAGAACAGCCCCTGGGTCCCTGGAAAGTCCAAGGCCAGGCTGGACACTGGGGCTGGAGCAGCCTGGCACAGTGGGAGGTGTCCCTGCCATGGCAGGGTGGCACTGGGTGGGATTTAAGGTCCCTTCCAACCCAAAACTGTGAACCAAAGTGCTGTGATGTTGGATTAAGCCCTTTTGTGACCCAGAGATGGGGCAACTGAAATAACTTATTAAATAAACTGAGTTTAATGTTATAGTGACAATATTAGTGATAGTGCCTTGTGTGCTTCACTGTACACAACAATTGATAAACAAAGACATCAAGGAAGTTTTTTTCTATTCAGGAGAGAGGGGGAAATGTGGGAAGTGGATTTGTAGAGAATTCCCAAAGCCTGACAGATTTCTCACATCTGTATGCACACTTTGAGATGAGAAATGCTGACTTAGGAATGCCCTGGAACAGCACAGACATTGCTGAGAGAGAAATGGAACTGGAAACAAGTTTCAAAGGGTGGCCTTGCAAATAAGACTGGATGCTTTGGAGAAACAGAACTGTGAAAGAGGCATTGGAGT